GTGGTTTGGACATGTCCAGAGGAGGGACAGTGGTTTGGACATGTCCAAAGGAGGGACAGTGGTTTGGACATGTCCAGAGGAGTGACAGTGGTTTGGACATGTCCAGAGTAGGGACAGTGGTTTGGACATGTCCAGAGGAGGGACAGTGTGTCTATTAGTAGAAGGATGTTAGACATGCAGCTGCCAGGAAAAAGACAAAGAGGAGATACATGGATGCAGTTAGAGAGGACATGGAGGTAGTTGGAGTGAGGACAAAGGACACAGAGGACAGAGTGAGATGGAGGAGGACTCCCTGTGGAGACATCTGAAGAGGGAAAAGCCGAAAGAAGAAGAATTCTTGTGAAGCATTCACTCATGATGGTGCTTTCTAGCCAACAATGGCCCTTTGATTGCTGATGATGTTTGTTTCAGCCCGACTTGACTTGCTTGGAACTGGTTTGTGGATTCTAAGAACCAGACTAAGGCATGTGGGATCCCCCAATAGAAAGGCGTGCCAAGTCAGCCTGAGTAGGGCCCAGTCGAGGCCATGGCAAAAGTCCATGAGTGATTAAACAGCAAATGGCAGAAAACAGAAACTTCCCGAAGGAACATGAGCACAACAGGAGAGTTCTTCCTTGCAAAAATGAAATACGAGGATCACCGAATTCGTCGGCAGTTTCAGCCTGACCTAAAATTTGCGAGCTCAAGGGACGCAGTCAGATTAATGCCATCCAACAAAAACAATACCGTCACCGAGAAGGAAACCATCAAACCTGTGCATGCTGGGAACCTTAATCATTTAGCTTAAGAGAACCTTGCATTTTTACCAGCTGTTGAAAACCTTGGATTCAAGGGGTAAGCTGCTACAGCCATCTGATACCGTCATTAATATGCAGACATCTGTAGACAGTGATCCGTCTAGAAGATACAGGCTGTGGAGCAACATAGTAAAACATGTGGCTTCTTATATCCAAGATGGCTGTCGAACTATAAAAAGCATCACAAATGTAAAATAGTACTGTTTACGGCGCATTATACGCCTGACGACAAACTATTATATAGTAGTCTCTTGAGACTTTGGGGTCCGACTTTCGCAGACTCACTCTTCCACAGGTTTTCTACGTAAGATGGTACACGACACACGGTTGACTGATTGATGGAGGTCGACCAACCAGAGCGAGCAGATCAGAAGTTATGGGAAAGACGAGAGAAAGGTTACGGATGTACATACAGAGACTGTATCGTAATATGTCCCGCCTGTCGACGGGCGTATAAAAGCAGGAGGTACTTACCCATGAGAAACCTGCTGTGTGTAGTTATGTGTTAATTTAAGGATGCAATACACCAAGCATAATCGAGAGGCACATTTAGAATGGAGGAACCATTACCTGGCATTAATCACTTACAACTGTAATATTCATTAGGCGACACGACTTTAAATAAATGATAGTCGCTTGTGAATAAACTTTATAATGGGTCTTTGCAGTCTGGCTACTGCAGCTTCCACAAAGTTCTCCAACGCCAGCCTACGAAGGGAGAAAGGCGGGCAATACTGTTTTTGCCTATTTTGGTGTTTGTGTGTCTGCCTGTTAGCAAAATATCACAAGAACCAGTGAAAAGATCTTATGAAAACTTGCAGGGATCGCTGGACGTGTATCTACAACTCATTAACTTTTGGAACTTGATTTTCAAAGATCTTTGACTAAATGGAACAATAAATCGTATTTGATAAACAATCACTAACAAAAACAAGAACGCAAAAATACTGTAGGATGTTTAGTTTTTATAGTTTAAAAATTATCAAGACACGGATGTCACCATTTTATTTACTAGTTTACTAACAGAACTAAATTATATGACGTTAGCTTTGAAGCTAATTTCTATGATGTTAACTTCAGAGCTAATTTCTATGACGTTACCTTTGAAGCTAATTTCTATGATGTTAACTTCAGAGCTAATTTCTATGATGTTAACTTCTGAGCTAATTTCTATGATGTTAACTTCAGAGCTAATTTCTATGATGTTAACTTCTGAGCTAATTTCTATGACGTTAGCTTTGAAGCTAATTTCTATGACGTTAGCTTTGAAGCTAATTTCTATGATGTTAGCTTTGAAGCTAATTTCTATGACGTTAGCTTTGAAGCTAATTTCTATGACGTTAGCTTTGAAGCTAATTTATATGACATTAGCTTTGAAGCTAATTTCTATGACGTTAACTTCAGAGCTAATTTCTATGATGTTAGCTTTGAAGCTAATTTTTATGATGTTGGCTTTGAAGCTAATTTCTATGATGTTGGCTTTGAAGCTAATTTCTATGACGTTAACTTCAGAGCTAATTTCTATGATGTTAACTTTGAAGCTAATTTCTATGATGTTGGCTTTGATGCTAATTTCTATGACGTTAACGTCAGAGCTAATTTCTATGATGTTAACTTTGAAGCTAATTTCTATGATGTTGGCTTTGAAGCTAATTTCTATGACGTTAACTTCAGAGCTAATTTCTATGATGTTAGCTTTGAAGCTAATTTATATGACGTTAACTTCAGAGCTAATTTCTATGATGTTAGCTTCAGAGCTAATTTATATGACGTTAACTTCAGAGCTAATTTCTATGACGTTAACTTCAGAGCTAATTTATATGACGTTAGCTTTGAAGCTAATTTATATGACGTTAACTTCAGAGCTAATTTATATGACGTTAGCTTTGAAGCTAATTTCTATGATGTTAGCTTTGAAGCTAATTTCTATGATGTTAGCTTTGAAGCTAATTTCTATGATGTTGGCTTTGAAGCTAATTTCTATGACGTTAACTTCAGAGCTAATTTCTATGATGTTAGCTTTGAAGCTAATTTATATGACGTTAGCTTTGAAGCTAATTTCTATGATGTTAGCTTTGAAGCTAATTTCTATGATGTTAGCTTTGAAGCTAATTTATATGACATTAGCTTTGAAGCTAATTTCTATGACGTTAGCTTTGAAGCTAATTTCTATGATGTTAGCTTTGAAGCTAATTTATATGACGTTAACTTCAGAGCTAATTTCTATGATGTTAGCTTTGAAGCTAATTTCTATGATGTTGGCTTTGAAGCTAATTTCTATGATGTTAGCTTTGAAGCTAATTTATATGACATTAACTTCAGAGATAATTTCTATGATGTTAGCTTCAGAGCTAATTTCTATGATGTTAGCTTTGAAGCTAATTTATATGACGTTAACTTCAGAGCTAATTTCTATGATGTTAGCTTTGAAGCTAATTTCTATGATGTTGGCTTTGAAGCTAATTTCTATGATGTTAGCTTTGAAGCTAATTTATATGACATTAACTTCAGAGATAATTTCTATGATGTTAGCTTTGAAGCTAATTTATATGACGTTAACCTCAGAGCTAATTTCTATGATGTTAGCTTTGAAGCTAATTTATATGAC